TAGGCCAGCCTGAGTGCTGAGCAAGCCGCCTGGAGGAGGAAGTCCACATCTCCCAAGACAAAGAGTGCTCCACCACGGGTCCACCACGGGCCAGTCTTCATACGGATGAACAAGTACCTACTGAACGGAACAAAACCCTTATCATCAGTTCGAAGCAGCTGCACTTGGTTTAGCTTCCCCTAATGAGTAAATGCTTTTCTTACATGACTAAGCACAGCCTCAGTCTCTCAGTCGTGGCTGTCCATGGGATTTCCCGGCAAGAATACTGGAGCGGGTTGCCATTTCCTCCTCCAGGGAATCTTCCCAACCTCGGAATCGAACCCAAGTCTCCTGTGTCTCTTGCATTTCAGGTGGACGTTTTACCCGCTGAGCCATCGGGGAAACCAACATGGCTACAGGGTTCACTAAAACATACTTTCTGGATAAAGAGCAGCACACACTCCAAAATCCTTTTCTTCATTGAAACAAATGTAACTGCCCCTCTTCACCATTACATGTAATCTTCACAATTAATGAGTCTTAAGCTATTTTTAAAGGAATGAATAAGAGAAGGAGAAATTTGAGGAAAATCCGAGTACTTAACAAAAACCAGGTAATAAGAAGGGGGAGAGGGAAGTGAATGCATATTCAAATTCTTGGCGAAGTGAAGGCTGGTGGTTGTGAACAATGTCCAATTCTTCACTTTGATAGAAGAGCGTAGGATAAAATATGTTTGTAATAATTTCAGGGTAACCACTATTGGGATAACATTTAGATGTAATTTTTCATACTCCTGGAGGAGAAAAGAAGACATAAAATGATCAAACAATGAAGAAGCAGGAAAGGTGAAAGGAAGTGGCAAGAAATCACAATGAACACAATGCATAAAATAAGGCAGCAAGGGAACGAGTGAACGCATCATTAATCACAGTGTGGAATGTGCATGGATGAAATGATTCTCCTTGATATGTCTCACATTTGAGAGGAAAAGAACAGATTAAGTGAAGGAGCAAAAAATCAGCCAGATGCTACTTTTAAGGTACATTCCTGCAACTAATGATAGAGGGAAAAGGTAGAAACACAGACTCGAGCCGGAGGAGCTGCCCTGGCGTCCAGTGGTTAAGACTTCTCCTTCCAGGGCAGGGGGTGCAGGTCTGATCCTGGTCGGGGAGCCAAGATCCCACCTGCTTCTCCACCAGCAAATAAACAAACAGGATGAGGGAGAGTCTACCAGGAATATGCCAACCACGACAGACGGCCAAAGGCCTTTAAAGTCAAGATTTCAAATAAGGCTCAGAGGAATTTTACTGGAGAAAGATACCATCACTAAACAAATTGCAGCAATCATCAACATTTCCACACAGACTACATTGTGTGGAAATACTTGAAGCAACAACAACAACAAAAAATCTAGGAATTTAAGGTCATTTTCACAAGTTCACAATGAGCCCTAAAAATTTATATTTTTAAATTTAACAAATCCAGTAGAAAAAGAATATGACTACAGTATTCAAATTACACAATAGGCTTTATTTAACACATATACTATTTTTGTATAAAACAAAATCTTTTAAAAATGTCCATGGACTGTTTGCAGAAATTTCTTGGTGAATCCCCTGGTGACCCACTGGTCAGGATTCCAGGCTGTCACTGTGCTGGCCCAGGTTCAGTTGCTGGTTGGGGCGCTGAGGGTGACGTGGCCAAGAAAAGAAAAGAGATTATAGACTGTGCCATAAAGCGAATCCTGGCAAACTCACATTCTGTCCCCTTTTCCAAAACCCACGCTGACGTCCGAGCACTCAGGACCTCAGAAGGTCACTGTGATGGGACACAGAACCTTTAAGAGTTCAAGTTCAACTTCAAGTCAGGGCAGTTTTTAACCTGTTCTGACTGGTGTCCTTAGAGGAGGAGGAGGTTCTGACACCAGAAGGGACTCCAGAGGGATGGCCGTCTGAGGACAGAGAGGCCTCGGATAAACCAGCCCTGTGACACCTCGACCTTGAACGTCCGGCGCCACAGCAGAGTCTTGAGCGGCGTGAGCCTCTCCCCGAACCCGCGGGGCCGATGGAAGGTGCTTGTAGTTCACACAGCTCTGCCCCCACAGAGAGCCAGCCCTCCCCAGCACCCAGGCGGAAGCCCGCACGTGAAACCCAACGACAGAGGACCCGGTGTGTGTGCAGCTCACAGAGCCGGCGCTCTGCTCACGGCGCTCACGGGCCATCTCAGGGGCTTCCCGCGGATGGTTTCTCTACATGCGCTTTCAGCCCGACTAGCTGCTTCAGAGCCTCATCTCCAGCTCAGCCGCCACTCGACAGGCGGCCAGGGCGTCAAGCTCAGAGCGGACAGAGAGATGCACCAAAGGTCCCCCAGAGACAGCAATGCACGTCAACATGTGTGTGCACATGCGTGCATGGTCGGCGCTCCCAGCCCCCAGCTCGGCCCTCCTACCCGGAAGTTCCTCCCCTCCTCCACCCCCAAATTTACAGCCAACAGCTGAAGAAGCAACCAAGAACTACCATCACTAACGGAGCAAGAGGGGCTGGGTCCTCCTGCTGGGCACCCCTCCCGCAGAGCCGACTGGACGGGGTCCACCTTGGCGATGCACAGCGCTGACCCCTGAGCACCACCCGCGAGCTGTTGCCCCCTCCCCAGGATGCTCACCGACTGCCAGAGTGGCGACAGGGAGGGGAGGGGAGGGGAGAGGGGCCGGAGCCCAGGAGGGAAGCGATGGCGGTGCTGGACCTGCAGAACCCGCCCACAGGGCAGGACGGCTCAGCCAGGGCACTGGCCTGCAAGAGGCTCTTCCGATGGTTCTCTGCCGCCCTGGGTTCTCTCACTGGCACAGAAGCAGCACCTCTGCTCCCCCACCCACGAGGGCTGCGCCCTGAACTCAGTGGTGAGACGGGTCTGATGTAGGAGAGGAGGGAGACAGGCGGAGAGGGGACCCCAGGGGTCAGAAGAGCAGGTCTTAGTTTATTTCTGCATCTTGGCTTCGGCCCAGAGAGGAAGGCAGGCCTCGGGTCCGGGCAGGAGCCCAGAGCATGGTGGGCTTTTGCTCTTGCTGCCCTCTCAGACTCCGGAGAGCACTTAGGGCCTAGTTGCCACTGCCAACCTCGGGGAAGCCACATGCGCCCATGGGGCAGCCGGGCACGGCAGAGGCAGCCCTGGGTGGCCCAGTGTCAGAGGGCCACGGACACTGCAAGGCCAGACCCCCCCAAGCCAGCTGCAGGCTGATCACAGCTGCACGCAGTGACCCTGCCGCAGAGCCTAGCTGAGCTGCTGAGAGCCCCGGGCGCAGAGAGCTCTGGGTCTGCGGACCTGGGGGCAGGCGAGGCTCCTCTGCCAGGCGGACGCCAGCGGGAGACCAGACGAGCCCGACCCCACGACAGTGTCCCCCGAGGGCCGCCACAGGCGGGGCGTGGGGCGGCCCCTGGCAGGTGACACGGTCCGGAAGTGCCAGGTCAACACCAGTGTCACTGGTGACCCCACTTTCCACCCGTTAGACAAGAGGAGACGCAGGAAGGGGGAGAGGAGGCAGCCAGTGTCTGGGCGTGTTTGCCCAGAAAAAGAGAATTCTCCCAAGAAATTGTTTACATTTTCAGGTCAAAATCTGAACCACAGTGGACATGAATTTACACTTTTTAATTAAAAATATAGCATAATTAAAAATGCTTCCCCTGATAACCAGTGGGCAGGGCTCAGAAGGAAGACCGAATTAGATGTAGATAAAGCCAAGAACCTAATTTTCTCAGCTCCGCTGAGTTGCAGTATGTCCCCAAGTCCAGTAAGACACCCAGGCCTTTTCCTCCAGTAAGCAGGCCAGGCCCCAGGGAGCAAAGGCCCGAGGGCATGTGGGCTGAGGGCGGTTTTCCTTCCTACTTTGAACACCTTATTCTCTTTTTTAAAAAACAATTTATTTTACATTGAAGATAGATGGTTAGACAGCATCACCAACTTAATGCACGTGAATTTGAGCAAACTCCTAGGAGACGGTGAAGGACAGAGGAGCCCGGCGTGTTGTAGTCCATGGGGTCAGAGTTGGACACAACTTAGCGACTGAATAACAACATATCCGATGAACAACGCTGAGATAGTTCCAGGTGAACAGGGAAAGAACTCGGCCACACACATATACCCAATCCCCCACGCTCCCCTCCCATCCAGGCTGCCACATAGCACTGAGCAGAGTTCCGTGTGCTGTACATGGTCACTCATTGTGAACGTAGCAATCGTACACCATACACTCTTAAAATAACTATTCAGATCCGGAGGGCCGTAAGAAGAACCCCTGACGAAGGTTTGGATAGGCAGTCTCACACGTTTCCCGCGTTCCACACTTCCTGAGGTCTCACCAGTGTGTGCCCTTCCACCGGCCTGTGATTACCAACCAACGTCCAGTTCCCAGCTTTTTCTCATTGATCAGTTAGACAAGAGACTGAAATTTCCGTTTTCCTTTCTTTATTTATAAACTTGAATGTCTCCTTACTTTGAAAGTTTAAAAGTTTCTTTGAAAGTTCCTTTTGCACAAGAAACTTCAGTTTTCCATGGCATTTCCTGAGGTCTATCTGCCGTCTTCACCAGCAGCTGGGGACCACAGGAAAAGCAGGGGAATATTCCTGGCGGGAGGAGAAGGGGACGACAGAGGATGAGATGGTTGGATGGCATCACCGACTCGATGGACATGGGTTTGGGTGGACTCCGGGAGTTGGTGATGGACAGAGAGGCCTGGCATGCTGCGGTTCATGGGGTCGCAAAGAGTCAGACACGACTGAGCAATTGAAATGAACTGAACTTATTCTTGTGTTAGCTCCACCCATTTTTCACCCCTGGCAATTGTTTATGGGGGAGAAAGCTTATTTAAAAGATATTTGGGGTAAAGGATGAAAATGAACAAGGGGGCCTCCCAGGCTCCCTGCTGCCCCACCTCCTGTCCTGGGTTTGGACTATGAGGACTGTGCCCTGCCCACTCTGGGGCTCCCCGGCATTCATGCAAGTCCGAGTGAGGAGGCTTCACCCCTCACCCTGGCCTTGGGCTCCCGAGGCCACTTGCTGAGAGGAAGGGAGACCAGCTCCTGCGGGACCTCGCCTTCTGCGCCCTGGCAGTCCTGAGTGCCCACGCCCCGCCAGTGCCAGGCTTGCCACATCCTCGGGGCTGCCCCAGGGCTGGGGCCCTTGGTGCGCCCTCAGCTGGGGTCCTGGGAACCCTCTGGAACATGGGGCTCCCCACTCTTTTCTGGAACCTCATGGACACCTCTGAGGACCACGGCATCCCCTGGCCATTTCAGGTGTGGCTTTGGGATGATTCCACCTGCGTCTGAATGCCTCACTGATTCATTCATTCATTCACCTAGCATTCTGAACCCTTTATTCATTCAGCACAGATTTATGGAATCCCCAGGACTTCCCTGATGGCTTAGCGGGTAAAGAATCTGCTTGCCAGTGTAGGAAATGAGGATTCAATCCTTGAGGCGGGAAGATCCTCTGGATGAGGAAGTAGCAACCCACCCCAGTATTCTTGCCTGGGAAATCCCGTGGACAGAGGAGCCTGGCGGGCTACAGTCCACGGGGTCGCAAAGAGTCAGACATGACTGAGAGCACACGCACACACGCATGTCACACACCAAGGTGCCCCTCTGGGTATTGTGCTCTGCCCTCAATAGATACTATTCCAGCTCCAAGGGTTAGACGTTAGGAAGACGACAGGACATAGAAAAATATCAAACAACACATTTCCTCAAAGAGGCCAGAGAAGGCTTGTACTGTAAAAATCTGTACCCAGCCTGTAGTGAGAATGAGGAGCATTCTTCCTGCTCCCGCCTTTGAAATAAGGACCGCGAAGGAGTGAAGACCAAGACTCCCAGTTAGGATGAGGTTGTCCAGGCCAGCCCTGTGGTTCAGGCGGTGAGGAGCAAGCTCCCCTGCCGCCGGGGAGGACTGGGCGCTCTGGAGCCCTGGGGCACCCAAAGTGGGCGTCTCCAGCACAGCCCCGGGTCTGACGTGTGTCAGCCTCCGTGGTGACAAGGGGCGCTCAGGAGCCTGCTTTTTACAACAACTATAAAAACCTCACATTGAAAATAAAGAAGGTGATTATCACCACCCTGAGCTCTAGTCCGGATCAGGCGCTGATACCGAAACCAGCCCCCCTGACGCTAGCGTGCTCCCCATGCCGGGGGGGGGGGGTGGTAACAGCAGCTAACTGTGTGGGATCCCGCCGTGCGCTAGCCCCAGCTTTCCGAGCTGGAAGCCGCTGTTGTCCCTGCGTTAGACAGGAGGAGCCTGAGGCACAGAGAGGTGCGTTATCTCCCTGCGGTCCCACAGCAGGGCCGGGATTCTAACCCAGACGGACTGTGTGCCTCCAAGAAAGGAAAAGGAGCGCTCAGCTGCCAGCTTTGGGCCCCTCTAAGGTGTCATGGGCCCCAGTGACCTGTGAGGTTGGGTTAATGGAAGAATAAAGGGGCTATTCTGCAAGCCTGACCAAAGAATTCCGAGTAGTTCTTGAGCGCACCTCCCAGATTTGCACGGAGGGGCCGGTTGGGTTACAGCCATGGTAACTCTGGGTGCCTCCAGTAAGACCGCACCTTAGGAAGGCAGGGACAGGGCACAGCGAGTGTTAACGCGCCTCCCATAACGCAACTGCCTCCATAAGCCTTCCTGCAACGAGGAGGGTTCAGAGCAGTTGGTACAAAGCCTAGTTACTCCGAACTGAAACAAAATGAAGACTGTAAATTTTAGGTCACCAAGTGTGCTGAGTGTTGGTAGAACTAGGACCTGCCGGGACAGAAGGTCATAAATCCACCAAGTTCACGGCCACGGAGAGGAATGCAGGGCCGAGAGGGCTGTCCGTGGGCCTCTGCCAGCCTGCTGTCCCTGCAAACATTGCAGATGAAATGAGTTGACTCTGGATGCTCCTAGCCTGTGGCCTCTCCAGAGCCAGGCTGATGTTCAGGTCGTGCCGTGGGAAGAACTGATTCCCAGGCTTCAGAGTCTAACCTTTCTCAACCAAAGCCCCAGAAGACAGAGGCCATCAGCTGGGTCGCCTCCAGGAACTGCCCACTGCTAAAGAAAGCAGCCTTGACTGAGGTCACACCACGTCCTGGGGCAGCTGTGTGCCACGGCTGGTCTCACCAACAGCTCCCGAGGGCCGTGGGCTCTGGAGTCCCCGTGGGAGCTAAGCGTCCTGCAATAACAGACACTCCTCACCACACCCCGCCAGACTCTTCAGACTGTAGCTCTCTTTGTGACCCCGTGGGCTGTAGCCCTCCAGGCTCCTCTGTCCATGGGATTTCCCAGGCAAGAATAATGGAGTGGGTTGCCATTCCCTTCTCCAGGTTATCATCCTTACCCAGGGGTCAAACCTGGGTTTCCTGCTTTGCAGGCAGATTCTTTACCGTCTGAGCTACCAGGGGTGCTTGTCAGGTCTAGCACTTTTCATAGCGACACAATACAGTTTTGGCAGAAGTCAGAACTTCTATCATCCCTGTGAAACTCAACAGGTGGCCTTCCATCAGGGACAACCTATGGACAGCCAGTGACAGAAGCAGCCCAGACAGAGGTGTCCTTGGAGGACAGCTACCCTGGGACTCAGATATGCTTGTAAGACAAACCACCGTGGTGTTAAGACTTTTACCACAGCCATCCTTCGATGAATTTCCCTGGCAAAAAAAAGAAAATCTCCGTTTATAATTGCCTTTGAAATTTCCTTGGAATATTGGCAGTGCTATGAAACCATCATTCTTTGAATATGAATTAATTCACTGATCCAGGTCAGTTCTGCAAGTGTGGACTGCACACCTCGCATGTTCGGGAGAGAACGGCGGGGCCAGAGAGACACGGCCGCAGCAGCTATACCTGGTAGGCCAGCGGGGACACGACCAGTGGGTGTGGCCAGTGGGTGTGGCCAGGGAGAGGGCGTGGCCGGGGAGAGGGCGTGGCCAGGGAGAGAGGGCGTGGCCAGGGAGAGAGGGCGGAGAGGGTTGGAGTTTAAAGTCACAAAGCTGTTTCCGTAGAAAACGCCATATTAAAATGAGAGACTCAAGCCACATTGTCAAACAGCCTATTCCCCGCCTGAGGGGTCCTGCTCCCCTGGCTTTGGGTGGGTGCCCACCATCTTCCGTGGGTCGGGAAGATCCCCTGGAAGAGGAAAGGAAATGGCAACCCACTGCAGTATCCTTGCCTGGGGAACCTCGTGGGCAGAGGAGCCTGGAAGGCTACAGCCCACGGGGTCACAGAGAGTCAGACAGGACTCAGCGCCCACCTGAGCCCGGAACACCACCAGGCAGGCCGTGCAGCCCACAGGGGTACGCGACGTCTTGAGACCCTTCCCGTCCCAGGAGGGCCGTCCGCCGCTGAGCTGATGGAACACGCAATCGTTGGGTGGACGTTGGCCAAGTTTGTGCCTCGGTTTCCCCACGGACGGCCCAAAGAGGAGGATAACCCACTTTCTGCTGTGTCATCGGGCCACGTAAGGGTACGGGGGGATGTCAGGTGAGGGCTCTGGGCTCAGAGGTTTGCTGTGATGAATAAATCACGGCGAGTATCGACGCCCTCATGGATGATGGCTGAGCTCCCAGAACTCACCGAACCGCTTTAAAAAAAATATTTCTCCCAGCGAAGGTCACGTTTATTTATTTATTTAAGTTAATCTGTTTCTTTTATTTTTTTTTTAATATTGCTGCTAGAATATTTAAAAGTACATTTATAGCTGATTATTTTTATTGGACAGTGCTGGCCTAGATGGTTCCAGGTTTTTTTTTTACTTTATTTCGTGTTGGGATATAACAGAGCCGGACATGACTGAGCACGCATGCGTTGCCCGCATAGCCGATTAACAGTGTTGTGATAGTTTCAGGGAAACAGTGAAGGGACTCAGCCACACGTACACACGTGTCCGTTTCCCCCAAACTCCCTCCCAGACAGGCTGCCACGAAATACTGAACAGAGTTCCCTGTGCGGTCCTGTACTGTAGGTCACAGGTCATATTTAGCATGAGCGAAAGATAAAACTCATAGCGAAATGGGGACGCGTGAAGCCTACTTCATTAGCATAAGCAGAACAGTTTACACAAGCAGGAAAACCCAGTGACCTCAGAGCCTGCTGTGGACGCGGCCCACGGCAGCATGGCAGCCCCTGCTGCCCAGGGTCGCTCGGGGAGACCGAGGGAGCGGATTGGCCCGGCTCTCTGCCTCACAGACGCCCCTGCACCTGGCGAGATCCATAGTCTCATACCTCCATTCTGGACCCCGTAACCCCGCCCTCTCCCTGGAGGCCGGCAGGCTGAGACCTTCTGAGCTCCAGTCTCCTTGTTCCACGCAATATTTACATAAGAAAGGAGCAGACCAACTTTGAGTTACCTTTCTTGACCAACTCTGAGTTACCTTCCAGCTTAACATTCTAAAACGCCAGTCTGAAAGCTCTCACTCGTAATTACCTTCCAGCCTCACGGCTGGCCCGGGTGCTATTCTCTTTTCATTCCATCTTACAGATGAGAAAACTAAGCGCAGAGAGGTCAGGGGAGCCCGGAGAAGACGACACAGCAGGTAAAGAGCAGAAAGCTTCAGACCTGCGTCTGATTGCCTCCAGAATCTAAACTCTTGGCTGTTACGCTGAACACTGGCTGTGATGGTCCATCTGATCTGTCAACTGGACTGGGTCACAAGTCGCCCCTGTATCTGGTGAAATGTTACTCCAGGTGTTTCTGTGAAGGTGTTTACAGGAGAGGCTGGCATTTCAATCCATAAACTGAATAGAGAAGGTAGTCCTCCCAGCGTGGTTGGGCCCCATCCAAACCTTGGGAGGCCGAAGAGAAAAAAGGGAGAGGGAGGAGAAGAAAGGGGTCTTCTCTCTCACTCTCTGCCTGACTGTTGAGCTGGGACGTGCCTCGTCTCCTCTCCTGGGACTTGGAATGGGACTCACAGCACTTATTTCTCCCATTCTTAGGCCTTTGAGTTTATAGCACTTTTCCTTCTCCGTCATCAGATGAGCTATTTTTTCATAATAAATCACTCTATAGACAATAGAACAAAAGAAGGAAAGAAAGAGAAAGAAAGGAAGGAAGAAAAGAAAGAGGGAAGGAGGGGGGGAGAGAAAGAGGGAGAGAAAGAAAGGTATAGAGAAAGTAGATACAGGTGTAGATTGCATAAAGATATGGACAGAGATACAGACGTTGAAGCTGAAACTCTAATAATTTGGCCACCTGATGTGAAGAGCTGACTCATTGGAAAAGACCCTGATGCTGGGATAGATTGAGGGCAGGAGGAGAAGGGGCCGACAGAGGATGAGATCGTTGGATGGCATCACTGACTCAACCGACATAAGTTTAAGCAAACTCCAGGTGATGAAGGACAGGGAGGCCCTAGCGTGCTGCAGTCCATGGGGTCGCAAGGAGTTGGACACGATTGAGCAAGTGAACAACGTAGACATAGACAAATAGATACATAGATCCTATTGGTTCTGTTTCTCCAGAGAGTCCTACGATACTGCCTCTGAAGCAAAAATCATCCGTGGTGGTCCTTTTCCTCTTTGCCATGTCCCTAGAATAAGGATGATGGGATTGGAAGTCTGAGTAAGAGTATCTTCATCCACGTACCGCCAACATCATTACTGTTATTATTATATTAGCTGCTATTGTATCAAACATTGGTTTAACATAAGTTCACTATTAAAATGAGATGGCCTTACAGAATTTCCCTTCCCAATTTTCAATAAAAATAAGGGGAAAAAAATTTAAACTGGCACAAAAAAAAAAAAAGATTTCCTGACAGCCAGCAAGGAGGAAAGGAATATAACCCAAAAAGGTGCATTTAAAACCCAGAAGCCAAGGGCAGGGGGAAGATTCCAGGGCAGAGTCCAGGGCATGGCCAGTCTTCAAGGCCCGGAAGCCACAAGGGAGGGTCCCCCCAGCTGAGATGGGCTCTTTCCCCGTGCCTGAGCCTGAGCCAGTGGAATCTGTCCTGAGAAAGGGCAGTGGGTAAGGGCTACAGTCAGACTGCCCGAGGGGAAGGCCCTGAATCCCGGGGTGTTTCCTGCGGGAGCTGGGCACACCTGCCACGAGGCGGGGAAGGTCTTGGTTCATGAAACAAAGTCCAGATGGCGCGGCACAAACCCGATCAGGTCAAGCCCTTCCCTCCACTGGGGCCATACTCTAAGGCACCAGGAAAACAGACTTTAAGCTGCTTGCAGAGAAAAACAACCCAGTCTCAAGAACGGAAGGAGTCATGTCAAGTTACCTCTTTAATTCAGAGCAGAAGTTTTGGAAGGAGCTCCTTAAGCAGGTGTCGGATGGAAAGAAAGGAGTTAGCAGCTAAGCAAGCATCCAGCACAGTGGGGGTGGGGGAGAGTGAGCCAGTGGGAGGAGGGTGGGAAGGGAGCTGGGAAGGGGGATGGACAGGGGAAGGGGGAGGGCAGGGAGGGGGAACAGGGGAGGGGGGGCAGGGGAGGAGAGGAAGGGGCGGGGGGGGGCAGGGAGGAGGGAGGGCGGGGAGGAGAGGAGGAGGATGGCACCAAGAGTCCAAAGATGAGATGAAATAACCGCTGAGAAAGGAGTGTGTGTGACTAAGGGCACGGGTGGTGAAGAGTGAGTCTGTTCAAAGAGCAAGCGCAGGTCGCACATCAACAGGAACTGTTGTTGCCCCGCAGACTGTGATTAATGCAAACTTGGACAGCGCACCAGTGACTGTAAGTTCGGACGGGCTGCTGTAACAAAGCACCCCAAACTCGGGACGACAGAGATTTTTCCTCTCCCAGATCTGGAGGCTGAAGCCCGCATCAAGGAGATGGCAGGGTGGGCTCCTTCCAGGGGCTCGCAGGGGGACCTGCTCCAGGCCCTCTTGCAGCTCCCGGGGGTCGCCAGCAGCCCGGGGTGTTCCAAGGCTTGCAACGACCATCCCAGCCCAGTCTCGGTCTGTGGTCTGTGTCAGACCGTTTGTCCCCATGTAAGGACAGCAATCCCTGTCACCAGCACGGCCTCATTCTAACCTGATTACACCTGCGAAGACCCAGTCTCAGAGGCCCACCATCACAGGGACCACGCTAGGAACAATCCTTGGGGGAGCTCCATTCAGCCAGCAGTAGTTCAACAACAAAGTGAAGAGGAAGCAGGGAGGAAATGGAAGCAGCCCGAGAACCCCGATCTCCCCGTCTTCACTCGGAAGAGACAGTTGATCTGTTCTCAAGTGGAGACAGGCAGTATAGACGTGTGTGTGTGTGCGCGCGCGCGTGTATGTGACTGTAAAATCCCAGCCCACTCATTTTTCTGTAGGGCTTCTCAGGTGGCCCAGTGGTAAAGAATCGTCTGCCAATGCAGGAGACTCATGTTCAATGTCTAGGTGGGGAAGATGCCCTGGAGGAGGGCATGGCAACCCACTCCAGTACTCTTGCCTGGAGAATCCCATGGATGGAGGAGCCTGGCGGGCTATAGTCCATGGGATCACAAAGAGTCAGACGTGACTGAGAGACTAAATAACAATAACTCATTTTTCTGCAATCTCTTACACTAAGAGGAATAATCTCTTTTGTGATAAAGAGACACTTGTCTCAAGAGTATAAGTATAAAAACAAAGAGACACTTTATTTTTATCCTCCTATAAAATAAGTAAATGTTCAATGTAAAGATTCCTGTTCTTTTAAAGACCCTAGTGACAGCTTACAAGGTTGTTGCTTAAGCAGTTCTGATACTAACTTCCTCCCCGACAACCACCAGAACCATCAGAAGTGTATGAACAAACCAGAGACCCAGTTATATTGAAAGTCCTGGCAGCCAGCAGCATGCTCACTTCATAGCTGCTGCTTAATGTCAGCTAAATTGGATTATTTTGTTTCTAATTGCACAGGGTTGTACCAGATAACATACAGCCAAGCCGGAGCTGATAAGCCCTCTGGAATCCTGCGCCAAAGGAGGTACATGGTGTCCAGTTTTCAAGGACTGTGTCTTTCATTTCTCTTTCACACCCAGCAGCCTGACTCTGGGAGGTTATTTCCAGACAAAGCTGAGGGGAAGAGGGCACAGCGGTCTGCAGTTGGGCTGACCGTGTAGAGAATGGGAAGATGAGTACCTTCTTTTTCTCTGGAGTGTATTTCATGCCCCTTGATCTAAAGTCACGTTCTCCGGCTACACAGAGATCCCATCCTTGGACCTCAGGATCTGCTGGTGAAAAGCCTTGGGGTTACGCCGCCAGCTCTTGGAGCCCAGCCCCGTTCCTGCACACGCATCGCTGCTCTTGGGGCCCAGCTCCTTCCCTGCACACGAGTTGTTACTCCTGGGGCCCAGCTCCTTCCCTGCACACGCCTCTCAGCAGTGAGCGGATGCTGGCGCAGACAGATGCCGCGGGGCGTGTGGAACATCCACACTTGATCACCCACCGAGAGCCCGCCACCCCCACCTCCCGCACGGCCCCCTCCGACCTGCTGGGAGGCCGCACAGAGGACTTGGGTTTAGCCCAGACCTGGCCTCTGCCATCACTACGGGCCCTTGGGGAGGCAGCGGGGGCTGCATCCATCCACCCGGGGGGTGGCTCCCTCCCTCCCTCCGTGCGGTCGGCACTCCGCTCAATCACAGACCCAGGGTCTCGCAGGGGTGTCCGCCGTCCAGGCCCGTCCCAACCCATCGTGGAGCCAGTCGGGGCAGAAGCCACCCACTGTGCCGCTCGGCTCTGGGATCTTGGGCCCCGGCTGCCCAGCTGGGCTGATCTCATCTGGGCTGCCAAGAGCTGGGGACAATGGCCTCGTGGAACTCGGGTCTAGTCCTGGCACCAGCAGGAACCCAGATGGGCCGCTCGTGGTCTCTGTCAGACACACACAGACACACATATACACATACACACACACGGCACAGATGCACGCACACACTCCAGTTGCCTTCCGAGCACAGCACCAGAGCAGTCAGCAACGCTGGACCCCACTTACCAGGACTCTGGCCCAGATGGGGGCCCCCTCGCCTCCCCCACTCGGTCCCCACGCCCTTGTGCACGTGGCCTCCCCCCACCCCGTGCTGTTCCTTCCAGCTCCCACCTCTTAGTGCCTCTGGGACCGACTGAAGAAGAGCGTCCATTCCTCAAGCCCCGTTTCCCTCTGTCCCTGACCCGAGCCTTCCTCGGCAGCCACAGGATATATTTCTGCATCCTTCCCGGAGCAGTGCTGTCTGTGTACAAACTCCCCCGAACCCCTGGCGGGGTTCTGGAGGCTGCGTTCTCGGCCACTGAAGACAGCTCCCTGGAGGCCTGGTCCGCGCTCTGTAAGGCCAGGAGTTATCCAGTCCCCGAGACTGCTGCTGTTTCTGCCAGTTTTACTGTGGCCAGAGGCGGGTGGCCGGCTGGCACCTCATGAGCCCCGCGCAGGCAGCTCCGGTGTTGCAAGGATGCTGTGGGGAGGAGCCTGAGGACCATGTCCCAGAAGCCACAGCAGCATCGAGCTGTAAGAACAGTACCCAGAGCTCCTACCTGTTCTGTACCCAGTTCTGCATTGTTAACAACGACCACATTTACTTCATCACCATTAATAAGTGCATAGGTTTAATGTGATCTCCCCAAATGACCTAGAGAGCTTCCTTCCTTCACAGACAGACAAGCAAATTCACTCAAAATAAACAAGTAAGCACAGTCCAGCAAGACTCTAAAGCAGAAGAGAAAAAATAGAGAGAGAGGGAGAAAAAATAAAGCAGAAGAGAGAAACAAGGAGAGATTGGTCTCCCCGGTTCTTAAAACCCTCACAAGGCCTTGGTGATTAATACAGAATATGAATAGACACACAGCCCACTGGAACAGCAGAGAAAGTCCAGAAATAGCCCTGTGTGCCCATGGGACATTAATATATGACAAATGGGGGCAAAAGGGGATTTTGTGGTAAACAGCGTAGGGACCAGTGGCTGGTTGTTGGGGGAAGGGAAGCGGGGACCACCCAGAGTCCATCCAGAGAGACTCCATGGCAACGTTGTCAATGGGAAAGTAAGCCCCTGCAAGTGCTGCCAGAGGGGTCTGTAGGTGGGCCTGATCTATGCCCCCCCGCATCCACCACCCACAGCAGGCTTCTCCCAGCGTGGAGCTGCGTCCAGACAGGGAGGCGTGAGGAATGTGAGGGGGTGCTCGCTCCTGGTCCCCCCAGATGGGGGCCCCTCTCTAGGCGGCCTGGTCTACATGCTCCCTCCCTGCAGGCTGCATGCCTCCTCCATCCCTGGGGGCCCAGAGTGATGGCCTCTCTGTTGCTGCGGGGCCCCCATTCTCACCTCTGGGCCCCCCACCACTTGCCCAGGCCCTTGTCATTAGTCCCTTCGTATGCAACCCCCACTTGAGTCACCAGACTTTGAGTGTGCCCTGTAATTCCTGTTGGAACTCTAAATAGAATAACCTTGGAGTTGATGCACATATGGAACTAGGTCTCAAAATCCAGCAGCCAAAACACAGAGGTGAACGGTTGCGAGCATAGAGACTTCCCGGGTGGTCCAATGGTTAAGACTTTGCCTTCCAATGCTGAAGGTGCAGGCTCGACCCCCAGTCGGGGAGCTGAGACCCCACGTGCCTCTCAGCCAAAGAGCCAGGACACAGAAAGAAGCAACGTTGTAACAGATTCAAGAGGGACTTTGAAAATGGTCCCCAGTTTCAAAAAACTGCAAATGTGAGCAGCAGCCACTGCCATACAGAAAACCAAACCAAAAGGCAACCCAGAAGGGAAAGTGAAAAGGGCAGAACCTGGGAAACTGACTGCACCTCACAACACAGAGAAGCTTTTTTCTCCGAAATACACGAAGTGCTCTCAGAGATGAAAGCAGAGGAGACCACAAGACCAACAGAAAAACAGGCCGAGGTCACAGGCAGTTCACAGAACAAGAAATACACATGGTTCAAAACACGTGCAAGCCTGACAGTCAGAGACGCCTGCGGTCGCAGTGCAGCAGGATGCAGGTCTCAGCGGCCAGCTGGGAAGACGGTGGGAGTCTGGCCAAGCACTCTGGTGTCCGGGGGCGAGGGTGGCCAGCTGCCCACGCTGTTGTCCTTTTTCAGTGGATGTGCCCACCTGCCTGTGAGGGGCCCAACCAGCAAGACGTCCAACGGCCTTTCCCCGACTCCGTGACCTGTTCCTGGGGCTACCCCTGACTCGGGGACACTGACCTCTGACCAGGTGGCTCCCTGTAGGATTGTTTGTGATTCTAAAATATGTGCAACCAGCAAGTGGCCAAACTCAAGCACCTGGCTAGGTAACCCGATGACTTACCAGGGCCTGTCTCTGTGAGGAGGAAGAGGACGCTCACTTGGAGCTAAAAGCAAAATGTTCCCTGGCCACTTGGCTAGGTGAAAACAGAGTAAGTGCAAAAGCCATGGTGCATTTGGTGTGCCAACTCTGGGGTAAGAAGGTAGGAAATAAGAACATGCATGTCTTTGGTCTTGAGTTTGCACAGAGAAGGAAGGCCGAAGGTATAAGGAAGTTGGGGAGGACGCAGGTGCAGGGTGGGGGCCAGGCCGGGTGGGAAAGAGGTGTCTCAGCGCCGACCTTCCCTACTGCTTCAGTCCATGAACGGGTGCTATGCTCAAGGATGGAGAGTAAAGGAGTTAAGGATGCAGGGGAGATGGAGATATCGACCACGCTGCAGAGTTTGAGAGAACGGTGGCCCGCCTCCGTGAGGGTGGCAGGGCTGCAGTCTCCGAGGTCAGAGGTGAAGAACATGGCACTTGGGATAGAAGGGACTTCAGCTTGGACCTTGCTGTTTCTGCCTTCCTGCTGGATGCTGACCTGACCCCTCTGAGCTCAGCGTGCACGACTGGGCAATGGGTCTCTCAGCCCTGATGTCACAGGGTCCTGAGGATGCATCATGTCATCGACGTCCTGGCAAAGCGCTGGCTCATAGGAAATACGAGACACTATTGTTTCCATAGCTTTTAGCAGATGTGTTGAAAGGTTAGAATTTAATTGCCCATGTGAACTCTTTTTACCAAAAATTCTCCCTCTAAAATGAAATTGTCTTCCAAATATACACTGAGGCTTCTGTTTTGAGGAGCGTGGCTGAGGGCTCTTTGCTCACTGTGACTCCAACATTTAACAAGTGCATCCAGCATGGAAACATATACATGACCACGTGTAAAACAGGCAGCTAGTGGGAAGTTGCAGTGTAACATTGGGAGCTCAGATAAGTGTGGGCTTCCCTGGTAGCTCAGTTGGTAAAGGATCCGCCTGCAATGCAGGAGAACCTGGTTTGATTCCTGGGTCGGGAAAGTCCACTAGAGAAGGGATAGGCTACCCACTCCAGTATTCTTGGGCTTCCCTTGTGGCTCAGCTGGTAGAAGAATCCGCCCGCAATACAGGAGACCTGGGTTCGATCCCTGGGTTGGGAAGATCCCCTGGAGAAGGGAAAGGCTACTCATTCCAGTATTCTGGCCTAAAGAATTCCATGGACTCTATAGTCTATGGGGTCACAAAAAGTCGGATACAACTGAGTGACTTTCACTTTCACGGTTGATTCACATTGTTGCAAGGCAGAAATCAACACAACATTGTAATCTCCTCCAATTGAAAATAAAATAATTACTTAAAAAAAACACAAGCATGTCCAGGAGGCAGGAGGGTGCACGTGGTGCGGGGCTCCCTTCCCCCCAGGGTCCCCTCTTCGCTTCATCCTTTCCTGTTTCTCCTGTTCCTCCTTTTCTTTGTCTCACCTGCCCCCCTCCCCCTCCCCCGCCACCCCACCCGCCCCACCCCACCCCCCCCCCCTCGGAAGCCACAGATGACCTGGCTCCTGAGGCCTTCTGGTTGCCTGAGAGGCAGATTTGATTATTTCTGTTTTGCTAATGAGAACTTTTAAGTAACTTCCCTAAGACTTCCCCAGTGGCTCAGATGGTAACGAATCCGCCTGCAGTGAGGGAAGACCTGGGTCTGATCCCTGTGTTGGGAAGATCTCCTGGAGAAGGAAATGACAACCACTCCAGTGTTCTTGCCTGGAGAATCCCATGGACGGAGGAGCCTGGCAGGCTACAGTCCATGGGGCCGCAAAGAGTCGGACGCGACTGAGTACTAACACCAAGACCCTGTAACTCTGACTTGAAGCCGCTGAGGAGTTGTGCCTGACCACAGGGCTAGCCTCCTTCTTCATGAGGCTCCAGGGCCTCCCTGGGGACTTAGCCCGCGGCAGGGAGGAAAGAAGGAAGAACAGATGGCCAGCTGTTCCCTGGAGACCTCTGTGCGCCTCCGGCAAACCAGGTCTCCAGACTGTCTGCTTTTTATTTTCTCTTTCTCTTCCTTAGGGAGAAGGTGAGTCCCCCGGCTAGATGCGAATAAAAATCCAAGTTTCCTGAGGCCAGAGAACAGCATTTGAATATTGTCTGGTTCCTCGGTGGAACCCAGTAAAGATGAGTGAGGTGCAGAATGCATCCAGAAGGGACTGTGAGGGACTTCCTTCTCCCCACGTGGTTCCAAGGTTGTATTTCAACCTCCCCGGGCACATGCTCACAGCGTCAGGGGCAGAGGGTACCCTGCGGGCCCCTTTTCTTTTGAAAATCAGGTTTCATTCTCTCTCTCTCTCTCTCTCTTTTTTAAATATTTAAGTATAGCTGATTTACAGTGCCGTGCCAAACTCTGCCAAGTTTGGCGAAGTGACTCCGTCATACACATACACGAGTTCTTTTTTTATAGTCTTTTCCATTATGGTTTATCACAGGATGCTGTCTCCAATGCAACACAGTTGCACCTAGAGGTCGATCGGTTCTGTATG